TATATATATATATATATATATATGAATATTACTTTAAGACATTATTTATTTAGTCCGTTAGTTCGTTCGTTTGTTCGTTAGTTAGTTAAAAGCAGATGATCGTTTCAGGATCCAGAGCTCAAAGCCATGGTTCGCTTTTGGGAGAGCCATTCGTGTCAGAGCAGCTCCAAATGTGGGTGGGATTTGCTTCTTATTCGTACAATTCATATTTCTGTAGATTTCGCTTTCTGTAGATTAGCTATTTCCGTAGATTTTGTTTCCCTAAATCCACGTTGGCACGTCGTTTTTGTTGCCTTTTTGGTCGCGAGGAAACCAGAGACAGACGTCCATATGGGGCCTTTGCATGATACCTTTTCCATAACATATTACGTTCTCAGTGCATGGCACACAGTGGATGCTCTTGGAATTAAAAGTCCCGAGAAGGTAGAACAAAAAGGTTGAGTGTCCTCATCGCGTGCTGATCTGCGTAATGACTGACGAGATCAGCCTTACAAGTCTTCCTCTCGGTCATCGCTACCTCTGACGCAGATCGTTTCTGCGCAATGACCAGCGCGGAACAGACCTTACCGTGGGCTATGATTTTATGTCCAGCTGTAAGATAAAATACAGATGCCGCAGCCATCACCTCACGCCTCTACAATAGATACTTGGCAAGATGGTATCTTAGGAAGGAACATCTTACAAACAACCATCACACCAACGTAAATCCCCTTTTTTAAATCAAATAATATAAATCTCAACTAAGGCTATCTAATGAATTCAAATACCATCTCTTTGAACTGAAGCATTAAGTATGGAATTCACTTAATCAAGAAATAAGGGCATGTGTCAATACATTTTACCAAATTGCGTCGCTCCCTGCAAACATCATCAAACGTTCTGTGAACGTCGTCATCGAACTGTCCTCCGGAGTCCAAGTCATGGTTGGTTGGTGATAACAAAGGCGAACACCAGCCCAGTCGGGACAAGCTCTAAGTTCCCAATTTGACTCCCATATTGTGTGGTAGTATAGTGTATGTAAGCGTGTGGGAAAGTAAAGATAAAGGATCGGGCAAAGAATAGTTCGCGCGGTCCATTCGGTAAAGACTCTGGAATTTTATTCCATGTGTTTAATTTAGTCAATTTAATTTATTAATTTTTTATTATATTTATTATTTAGTTAATTTATTTTTACTTATTAATTACTTAATTTTTACTTATTAATTACTTCATTTTTATTATATTTATTATTTAATTCAATTAAGTCAATTTAATTAATATTATACTAATGCAATATGATTATTAACCAATAAATTGTACATGCCTTGAAAGACGACTTTCAACAAAGTTCAAGTGCTACAATCACATGAAAGGCGACTGCTTGGAATGGAAACAGTTCCACTCGAGCAGACCTCCACACATCGTTCGCTGTCCGTTGTTGCAGTTCTGGAACATCATGGCGCAGTACGGCTGGAACAACGACGCGCTGTCGCCCATCGCCTTGCCGCCCACCCACGCAGGTAAGACGCTCGCTGCAGCCGTGGTCTCACACCCAGACCCCACTCTTCGATCGACTGTTTCCGGGCACGTCAACTGCTGGGACTGTTAGCTCCGTTAGTGTAGTGGATGCTTTATCGCGTGGAGTGACGCTGTTTCTGAGATCTGGCGCGACCTACATGTCAGCTTCCGGGAGATTCACCCCCCCCCCCGTTGTCAACCGCAGCGTTGCACCCGGGACATGCTTCAAGTTTCCAACTGGACTCCCGTCATGTGTGGTAGTTTAGTGTATGTAAGCGTGCGTGTCAGTTGAGAAAAAGGATAGGGCAACGAACATTTCGGCCCGTTTTTAGGTCACTGGTCGGGCATTTGCCTTGTATTAATCAACGATACCACAGACAAATACGGTCAGAACACCCAACCTGAAGAGTTCTCCTCCACGTAGAGGCTAAATTCGACTTAAGTATTTAGTTACTGTCGAAAATTTGCCGAACGCGGAGCCTAGGACCTCCCGGTCAGAATCTGCGGCAGTAGGCTTGTGTTTGACCGATTGATTGCTAGAGATTCCGGGCGCGCCAACTACTCAAGTAATTAGTAACGTAAGGGTTCGAAATGCGGTGCTGGTCTTCCATCGCTGGATGGCGAGATCCGGTGCCGACCTACCGTCGACTAGCGGGTTTTACCCTAACCAAGTATCTCCCACCATCGGGGCAGCGACCCAGCCGGGACAAGATCTAAGCTCCCGACCGATTTCCCGGTCCGTGGCCTGTTTGATAGGCTACTGCTCCGGCATTCGCCTGGTGTTGATCGGAGAAACCACGGAAAACTACCGATCAGAGCAGCCGGCAGCTAGAATTCTCCCCCAGCCAGCGACTAAATTCGACCTGGACAATCTAGTGTTGAAAATCCTGCCACCTCCCGGTCAGAGACACTGCGGTGCCATCAGCTGATGCCCTGAGGACTTGTGTGTGTGTGTGTGTTTGGCGCTGAGTGCTGAGCGCAGTGCGTGTGCGCAGCGGCGGAAGACGGGAAGCGCGAAGAGAGCCTGCCAGCGGTCAACGCTCAGCCTGCGCTGGGCGGCGCGGAGGCGCTGGGCAGCGGAGGGGCCGCGGTGGAGCCAGCGCCGGTGCGGCGCCGCAGGCGGAAAGCAGAGCCGAAGCAGGAAGCAGCGGCAAGCCCTAAGAAGATGCGCGGGGCACCCAGGGCTGCGGACGGAGGACAGGGCCCTAGGTGAGTGACGCTCCTCATATTCTTAAACTTTTTATATTTTCATTGCGTTTTCAAATTGCACTATTTATTATTTTCTTAAGGCAATATTTTTACAATTTAAATTTTAAAAAGTTAAAAATATACCAAGTTTTTTCTGTACACGATTGAGTGATTATTTCTTAAAGTTTCCGGGCACGTCAACTGCTGTGACAATTAGTCCCGGTAGTGGTGTGCATGCTTATCATAAGAGATGGCCCGGTGGTTCTTTTCCCCGCGCAATAGTGAGACTGACGCCGTCCTACACGCCTGCTAGCGAGGAAATTCACCCTCCAATTATACCCCCAGCCGATTGAAACTAAGCTCCCGACGGGTCGTCCGGCATGTATGGTACTGTAAAAGTGTGTGTGAATCAGGAGAGGGGACATAGCAAAGAGGAAGAAGAAGAAGAACGCGCGCGATCCGTGTCCCGTTTCTTCTGCATTCGACAGGTATTGTTCGTAGGAACCATGGAAAACTACCGATTAGAGCAGACGGTCGCTAGAATTCTTCTCCAGCCACCATTTCTCCTCCGATCTAACTATATAGCTAGCGTCAGGGATATTCCAACAAAACTATCTAGTTATAAAAAATTACAGTAAAAATCGAATTCAATTTTATTTCAGGTACTACTGTTTCGGCCTTTCAAATCAAAGTTTATTATTGTTCTGCTTATTGACAGGTTTCAACATTTTCGATTTCAGGTTAAATGTAGTGTCAAATAACTTCGCCATGCGAATTTGAAAATAACGTGCGTGGGTGCGAATGGCTTTCCTACTAGGGCAGTCGTCTTCTCGCGTTTCCGTAATGTGACCACTGAATATCACAGATAAGGCCGGCCAGCAATCGAGGGAATATGCGAAAGAAAACTTCGGAGGGAGGTCGAAAAATAAACGACAAAAGAAATAAACATGATTACACTAATATTTTTAACTGTTTGATAGATATTCCTTTGAAGATGAAAATGGGTTATTTATAACAATTTAGGTGAAAACTTAATTCATGCCTCTGTGCCCCATGTGTTGACAAACGAAAATCAAGGTTTCTCATTTAAAAATCGTAAATTCAAAAGTTCGTTATGATGTTTATTTCATTAAAATTTGATAAATATGTTGATGGAGATTAAAAGCATGGGTATTTCCTTCTCTCGAAAACTAATAATAGAAATTGAATTATAATTTTTTTAAAGTTATGTCAATTTTTCAAAGTAAATTTTACCTGTTGAAGTTGTAATGTACCAGGGTTACAAGATCGATTCCAATGAGCATCGCGTATTGTGTGCGGTGGTAAAAATAGACAGCCACACGAGCCTTACGAGCCTCTGCGGAAATACATCTTATAGCTCCCAGACTTTAAATTACAAAAACGAATTGTACGAACAATAAGTAAATCTCATCCACGTGATTCTTGCAAGCTTCTCTTTATTCATCTAGGTATTTTACCATTACCTAGTCTCTTCATATATGAATTGGTGGTTTTTGTCAAAAATGACTTACTTAATGGGGGGAATATATTTTCAGCAATCGCCATTATCTATAACTACAAAACTCGACGTAGTAATCATATTCATCAGGTGACAGTATCAACAGCTCACTACAAAAAAATCACCTGTAATACATGTTCAATTTTTACAACACCTTGCCAAATGACATTAAAGGATTAAATTTGATACAAAAGTGTTTAAGTCCTAAGTAGAATCTTTTCTGCTGCATAACTGTTTCTCCACATTTAGAGACTATGCCGAGAATCCAAAAGGAAAGTAATATTAATTTTAACAATACCATTTAATGTATTTTATACCATTTGGATTGTATAATTGTAAAGACCCGTAACAAGTTTTTTACTTCAGCTTCTAGGTCAATGACCCCTATCTCGAATAGGTTTTCGTCCAATTTCCCTGATTCTCGAGCAAATGCTGAGGAATCCCTTGTTTTGCTTTTGGACATAAATGTAACCTCAAATTAACTTCTCCCCATAGCACGTCACACA